AATTTGAATGCTAATGAAGTGCAAAATTTGCTGCAACAATTCGACGTTAGCTCGTTAGTTTTTTTCATAGGTCTTTTTTGTTCAAATTTCGAAATTATTTTTTAAAGAATATGGATTTAAATTTTAGTAAATTGAAAATTTTTGAAGATTTTATTATTGCAACGAATTCATTATCATTAAATTCTTACAAAGCAATATAATGTAAATAGATAACATTCAATTTAGCCAACTAGTTTTCGAATTTTAACAAAAAAGAGAACTAATTAAAAAATTTGTTTAATTTTACTGAAAAAAATAATGGAAATTAATAATGAAAATTTATTGTTTAATGTGAACTGAAAAAAAAAAATGAAACGAGTTAAAGGATTATAAAGAAGTTAATGAAATGTGTTAAATTTTAAATTTCAATCCTTTTTATTTTTTTAAGGTTTATTAGCAAAATTGAACCATTTCTTGGACATAATGGATCGGTGGAAAAATGTTTACCAAAAAAATTGCCATGTAATGAGAATACTCCATATCGGACAATATCTGGTTGGTGTAACAATCTCCAAAATCCTCACTATGCTAACTCTTTCACCCCTCTGATTCATCTTCTGCCACCAACTTACGAAGACGGTTTGTTTCTAAGTTTATGAGAAGGCAATAAAATAAAAAATCTAAATTTATAAAATTGTGAATTTTTCGCCTTTTTTTAACCGTAAGCTAACAGAGTATGATTATAATTGCGTAATAATTTATATTTAGGAATTGAAAATTTTAATTTTACTTCACTCAAACAACAATTTATCACAATCATCATATTTAAATAATTGTTTTTTGATCTATCATTAAACGTAAATTATTAATATTATCATTGTTCTTGATCATATTTCAGTGCCAACTATATCTATTATAAATAAAATAATAAATACATAAAAATTATAATAATAAATCATCCTATCGTCAATTTTTTAATTTCAATCAAAATTTACAATAAATCATTAATATTCATATCATTTAAAAGTGAACACTAATTTAGGAATTGATAAACCACGATCAAAATCAGTAACAGGTGAGTTGCTACCATCCCCACGTGTTATATCAAATACAATACATTTCGATTTACCAATCAGTCATCAAAAATATAGCCTTATGATTATGCAATTTGGACAAATTCTCGATCATGAAGTGACACATTCACCAATTCAACGTGGTAACATTTTAATTTACTTTAAAATTAGTAAATGATGCAATTAAATATTTATCACAAATTAAAATTCATTTGTATCTTTATTTGTTAGTATGCAATAACGAATATTTTATTTTATTTGATTGTAACTGAACGAATTATAAACATTGCATAAATATCCGTAAACAATAGCTATAAAGCAAAATTAAAATTAACAAATGTGCACAATTTATCTTGAAAGATTTCTGAAGCAAAGAAAAAAAAATGATATCATTCGTTATCACAGTTAAAATATTAATAATGATGATCAGTTAGCTTAACACATGTATTGACAAGAAATTGTGCAAGCTTCTACCTTTATGTAAATGTAAAGCTTATTTACTATTTTGTTACGTCAAATAATTTAATAAAAATCTAAAAGATGAAGATTCAAAAAAAAAATTTTTTTTTTTGAACCTTTATTTCTTGGATTCTTTGTTAAACTAATATTTAGCAAAATGATGAAATATGAATTTTCTAATTCGAGCAATAGCAAATAATAACGAAAAAATGGGTAAAAAGAAATTATCTTTTAGACTTTGATTAGAATAATAAAAATTTCAAAATTATAACAATTTAATTTCAATATTTAATAGATATCTATACAAAAAAAGTATATTTTATTATGATAAGTGACAAATTTTGATTCTTGCAGTGATTTCACTCTATTACTTTCATCCATATGAATTGCAAATGAAATCAATTTTTCTACACTTTTTTTCATTATAATTGTTTTAATTGAGGACCAGATAATGAAATATTAAATTGTACACGATGTGATTCACATCAAACTTTGTCAATGCATTGTATGCCATTACCGATACCACCTAATGATCCATTTTTTCCAACACATGATGAAAATGGTGAACGACGATGTTTGCCATTTACTCGATCAGTTCTTGGACAATTAAATCTTGGCTACAGAAATCAAATCAATCAGGTTCCTATTTTTATAATAATTTAGTAATTTTCATTATAATAATTGATTAATGATTGATTTTATAATAATAGATCATTTTACATTCAGTTTTATAATAATTTAGTAATTTTCATAAGTTAATTTTATAATAATAGACCATTTCATATTTAGTTTTATAATAATTTGGTAATTTGTATAA